GAAGTTCAGACTTTTCGTCCTTAAGTTTAACAATCTTATCTTTGAATTTAACTTCTGGGTCGGCTTCCTTATGTCGAAGGGTAAATTTTGTGTAGCATCGTGTTCGGGTTCGGTGACCGAACCCGAACGTTTAGGACCGAACGCAAACGAGCGTCGAAACTCTCCGAACGCGAACATAAAAAAAAAAAAAAAAAAAAAAAACTCCAAGAAATATGAAAAAAATATATGTTATGTAAAATAATAATACAAACAACTTTTGCCTTGGAGGTATGGTCAAATTCGTAACCAAACCCGAGTTAAAAATTAAAAAAAAAAATTTTTTTTTTTTTTTTTTGAATATCTTCGGCCGAACACGTTCAGGTGGCATTCGGTCGAACACGCGAACATATTCGGACGTTCGGAAAAGCTCCAAACACGTTCGGTGTGCTACACAGGGTAAATTATTCTCTATTGGGAAGGATACTTCATGTAGGATTTTTTTTCCTTCTCCTGAAATAACACTTGACACGATCGACGTATTGAGAGACAGTGATCGTGCTCTTGTCAGCCAGTATAGACGTGATAGGTTGAGGTAAATCCTTTACCTTCATTCCCAAATGCAATTTACGAATTGCCTTCTATGAGATGCAAGACCACGTCAATCCTGGATCTAACAGTGCACCAACTCGCGTGTGCACAATCTCAATTTTCTCGATCATTAACTCACCCTTAGACTTCGCTTTCTTCGCCCACGAACTCCGGAGTGCTATGAGTTCGTTGCCGAGTTCGTTAAAGGAATCGTCCAGCGAGACAGAGCAAAGAACAATGTCAGGGTGATCTGGACGATGGGCGAAAGAAGAGTCATCCTTGGCCTTGAGAGTCGAAAAGTTAGAAGGGGTTGTAGGCCCCTTACCTTTGTCTTCGTTTGAACCCTTTGACTCAGTAAAAGCAGATGCTACTCCGACTGACTGCTCGCTTTTGGGTTTCTGATAAGTGGGCACAGGCTATAACATGCCCCACAGTGCCACACTTAAGGCATTGGCGATTGTCCATCTTGGATTGCCATTCCTCACGTGTCATGTTCATCTTCTCCCAAGACCTTCCGGACGCAATGTCGGGATGCTCGGGGAACAAGCGTGACCTCTTCTTCTTCTTCCACTGATTTTGGCCTCCCTTGTTGGCCACAACGACAGTGACATCACCCTTCCCAGATTCACTGTCGCCATTACCTCCTCCTCCCTCAGACTCGTCGAGGGGTAATTTCTCAACCGTATCGTCATCAAACACAACAAGCACGTGGTCCTGGCGCGCGGTAATTTCTCGACCGTATCGTCATCAAACACAATAAGCACGTGGTCCTGGCGCTTTCGCCGCCAAAGGACTTGCTTGTGGTACCCACCAACCGGTACCAATTTGACTACCGAAGCGTACGTACCTTTCACCTGAGCGGTAATTTGCTCTCGTTGGAGAGCAAGATCGCAAAACTCCCGATAGTTATACTTCCCAAACTTGGCTTCTGCCACGAGTTGTCCACGAATGGGCTTGGGCAAGGCGCGTGAATAGATATATAGGACCTGGTTGTCTTGGAGGTTAAGTCCAGGTACGTGCAAGGGACGATCAACTTCACACGACAAAGCATAAACAAAAGTCCAACATTTTTGGCCTACAGTGGTGAGTTCATTGAAATCTTTGTCAGTCGTGGTCTTGTCGAGGAATCTCTCCTTAATTTTATGGAGAAACTGCCTCAACGTCAGTGTCTTGGCCCACTCACCTATATCTTCGAAGTCGGCAGCGTTGGCTTCGAACAACACCCACTCCTTAGCTACTCCCCCCAGACACGACGTGGAGAAGGCTACCTAGCTCTCAGGCTCAACGGGTGCGGTCCCACAGTAAGTCTGCATTTTCGCGATCCACAACAACAGATTCTCATTTTTTTTGCTGTTGTACGTGAACGGCAACTTCATTTTGACTTTTTCCTTCTTCTTCGGCTTTTCCGCTTCCTTTACCGGTTCTTCTTTCTTAGTGGGTTCATCTTTCTTCTCGGCCAATCTCTCGGGTTCTTTCTTAGAACTCTCAGACTTTTTCGGTGTAACTCTCTTCATTGCATCCCTCATTAACTTCTCCTGGGGTTCCTTCTTGACTACGTCCCACTACCTTGTCTTTTCCTTTTAGGAGTCTGGTCACTGTCTCTAACGAGGCATTGTTGCGGTCAATCTTATTCTCAAGAGAAACAAGGTAGAGCATGATAGACTAAAGGATGGATGCAAGCCCGTTGCCTGCTTCCTCATAATGAAATCTTTGTCTTAATTCCTTCCATGACTATTTCTTCGTCTTCTTCTTGTTCTTGTTGTCTGCAATATTCCTCAATCTTTCTCCTTTCTTCTCTTAGTGTATGTTCTAACTGTCTGACTTTTTCCTCCATTATCTCCACAGACAATTATGGTTTTTTTCTTTCCTCTCTTTCTTTTTTCTTCTCTTCTCCTTTCTTCCTTTTCTGGTCCATCCTTTCCAAATTATCAGCGACATACCGGTCAAGAGCAATTCGCCCTTGGTTTCTGAGATCCTCGATCCTCCTACCGGTTTCCATCATCTGGACAGCAGTTTCAGCGGCATCAAGTTCATCCTCTGCATCTCGCAGGTTGAACTGGTCGTGAACGTGTTGTTCAGTTGTTGGACCGGCACCGTGTATCTCACCAAGCAATTGACGAAGAAGGCCCTTTAGTGTTTGCCTTCTTGCGTCGATCTGACCACGCGTCCTAAGATCCCCCCCTTCTTCATCAGCATAGACTATGAGAGGGATAGGGAAGAAGAGAAGAGGAATGAACCGCGTCAAGATGGAGGCACGCAGACATTTCCAGAGAGAATTCATTTTTCCAAGCTTGTAGATGCCGCATAATAAATAAAATCAGAAGACAAGAATAAATTCCACGGCACACGCAACTCCTACAGCAAGAACTAACTAAGGCAGATACAAAGAAGCAGGTTCTCAATTTAAGTCTAACTTTGCGGTCTGTTTTCTATGTAACGACGTCCTACAGCAAATGTACAGGTACCGCAGCCACGGCCAGTGTGATCAAGACAACAACACCCTTGTGAGTACACACAGCAACCACAGAGCAACAAACAGGTAAGTAGAAAGCCAATACAACCGCACAATCAATGGTTAGCCTCTTCTATATCATCTGCAGAAGCAATGCAACCATCGGTAACAAGTGCACAGTCTTTGCATGCCACGTGTCACCCCTGGCATGCCAACGCAGCAGTTCTGCCACGTTAGCGTCAAGGACCGGAAAGGTCTACAAGGAGGGATGCCACGTCAGCAGTGCAGGTCTGCCACACACTCAACACCAACATGCCATGTCGGTGCGTCAACAGCAGGCAGTGGCGACACAGGTACGCGCCACGTCAGACCATGCCCTGCATTCCACAACATGCCACAAAAGCAATGCGCCACATCAGCGATACCACTCTCTCTCTGCACCAGCGCCACGTCAGCACATTGCCAACAAAGCTCTTGCCGGTATCTTGTTAATAAACGCGTTTCGTGTTGCACATGCGGCACCTCCCACTTACCTGGGTGCCACGTCAGCAGCTAACAGCAGATTGCGATGGAGTGTGCTTTGATACCAAATTGTAATGGACCCAGTCAGGAAGATACTCATCAGACGCCGAAGTTCCAGTAGTCTCAGATCTATTCAAAGTCTCCAGTTAATCGTGAAAATGATATCTGCAACAGTATCTTGTTACCAATAGACGAAAAGAGTGGAGGGAGGATAGACAAGGGAGAAGGTGGAAGAGGTATTCAAAGATCACACAATAGTAACCCAACCAACCCCACTCCTTCTCCGGGCTTCCTCTCCCTCCACATCAGCAATCAGTAAAGAATAACAAGTCTGATAAATCCCAGTCACACAGGAGTGCCACGTGGCACTATTCTCTGAAGGAGACAATGAAGACAGCCAGCATCTCGCAGTATCGACGTCAGCCTGAGGTAGCAATCTTCCTCCTCAACACAACCAGTCACCTCGTGTAGACAGCGTGGCCAATGCCACCACATAAGCAAAAACAGGTAGCAAGTGCCACACCATCAATGGAAACAGGTGGCAGCGCCACATCAGCACTGCAACGTAGATGGCAGCGCCACATCAGCAATGTAGACATGTGGCCTGCACCACATCAGCATGCAATGTAGACCAGAGGCAGCGCCACATCAGCATCCAATGTAGACCAGAGGCAGCGCCACATCAGCATCACATCAGCATGCAATGTAGACCAGAGGCAGCGCCACATCAGCATGCAATGTAGACCAGAGGCAGCGCCACATCAGCATGAGACCAGAAGCAGCACCACATCAGCATGCCTAGCGCATAATGCAGAATGCGCCAGCATGCCGTCACAGTCCGCGTCGTCGTCCACAGTGCTAGCGCACCGCCAGCGTCGAGACAAAGTCGAGCCAGCGTCGAAGCAGCACAGCAAGACTGAATGTTGACCACCTCGAAGCCAGCCTTTGAGTAGCATTTGACGAGGCTTTCTGGCCTTGGTTCCCTTCCCCACAGTTGTCCAGATCGACTCACAGCCGAGGGCCTGGATTGTGTACAGTTGCAGACTTCCCTTTTGACCTGATGTTGTCTGGGTACCTGCATACAAACAAATGTGCGTGCCTGACTCTGACTGTTGGGTAGAACGACAGTTGACTTGGTCAACTGTATCTCGTCCAGGCCCTGAATCTTTTACTGGGGTCTTTTCCCCCGTTTCGGCCTGGGCCTGACTGTGGCCTGGCGAGGCCCTCAGTTTCCACGAGGCATATAACATGGGTTATTGCACATCTTTCTAAAGAATGGGAAGTTGAGCAGAGCAGAGGACTAAAATACGACAACTCTTTCTTTTTTTCTTTTTTTTCTTTTGTTTTTTTAAATGCTACAATTCTGAACTTCCTCGGGCTGGTCAGTTCAATAATAATATCCTCAAGGCCGTTGGCCTTTCTTGTTTTTTTTTTTTTTTTTTTCGAAAGCGCACAGTACCTGCATTATGCCTCTCCATGTGCCATCTTTCTGAAGAATGGGAAATTGAGCATTTGCGGTTTCCGCAAATGATGCGGCCGCACGCACAACCTGCTGCTGAGCTTCTGGGTCCACACATGCCCATGTCTCTTCACTTCCGCCGACACTGTGCAAAAATGTTTAAAGGACACAAGAGTGCCGCGAATCAAAGACACACAGCATTCTACTGGAGTAAGACAAGAGGGGCGGCAATCCGAACGAACAAAGACTTTGAAAGAGACAAAACATAATCAACTGGAGCTGACAGGATCCAAAATTCCCAATGCACGTGGGAGACGAAGGAGAAGCAAAAATGCCGCGGGCAGAAAGATGTGAACTGTCCTTCGGGACATCCCTTAAAATTGGAACAATACAGCAGAGAATGAAGATTAGCATGGTTAGCATGGCCCCTGCACAAGGATGACAGGCATAAATCGAGAAATGGTCCATTTTTTTTACCTGGTTGATCCTGCCAGTAGTAGTCATATGACGGTTCAGAGAAACATCAACATCACACTTGTTGAATGCAAACAAGAGTACCTCAACACATGAGTGATATTACGTATGTATGTAATATCATCAAGCTGCAACACAGATTAAACCACTAGTACCATTGTCGGTTCGGAAAATAGTGGGCCTCCGACCTTTCAGGAGGCCGAAACGAAACGACGGCCGCCGATCAGATTTATCAACGACAGCCGTTGTCGGGCCCGGCCTCCTAAAAGTTTGGCAATAGGCTAAAACTTGCCCAAACGAAACGGCAAAGTTACTACTGGTTTAACAGAATTGAAAAAAAAAAATCACTCGTAGCATAGGTTATGCTTCCAAAACCATCCACAAAGACAAGAACCTCCGGTCGTATACCATCATGCCCGCGACGTCGGCACATCTGCAGATGCCGCCGAACGTCAAAAAGACTAAGCCATGCACGTCGAAGCGTGAACACTTTGCAAAAAAAAAAAAAAAAAAAGGTGAAGTTGTGAACTGACCAACGAGCCTACAACAGGTCAATATTGGTACACCCACGAACAGTGGAAATACAGACCCAAGTTCGAATCAAGAGTATTCAATGCAACAATCAGCTGAACAGAATCAATAGTTGAAACTTAGAACTTAATAGTTATCAATCAGTTGGGGCATTATTGCGAATCAATGATTGTGATTTAATAACTTTCATTCAATAATTAATTGTGAATCACTTGGGCCGTCACCCTTCACCTCCCCCC